CCTTTAAATAAATTAACAACGTTCTTTAGAACTACATGACTCCATCAGCTCATGATAATTATATATTGGCGTCTTAAAAAACATACAAAACCAAACCATAAAACGGAAATGTCAGATTTCACATATGTACTGTACAGTCCCTTGTGCAAGCATTTCCTCGACTCTTTATACCATAGGAACCAAAACAAACTACATACTATGTCTCAAGAGCTCTAGAAATACATTGCATTTCCATTTCCCATAATCACCATGGTACTTTCCACATCTCCTTGTTTTCCTCAGTCATGAATAACATGGGTATGTGGTTTTATGTCCGTCCCCATGGCCCCAAGTTAGACCTTGCTTTCCTTCTGAAACCACAGAAATGATATCTCACAATCCCCTTTTCTCTTCTCCTCCACCTCATGAAGCACTACAGAGGTTCAGTAAATAGTATCATGATATCATGTTCATCCCTATAGGGTTACAATAACACAGCATACACATGCACTCCATCAGCTTAATGTTATATTGGTATTGATCATTTGAGAGATGAATACTGCTGGATAATTATCTGCATGTATCATCTACATGACAATGGCACAAGTCAGGGGACAGCTCATAAAACTATCTCCCATAATGAAGAACCAAATGATCCGCCAGCAAAGGCAGTTAATGACACCACAAATGTAAAGCCAATTCTAAAGCACCGAGAGGAATATTCAATACTATCACCATAGGAGGCAAACAAAGGGAGGGTGGTGCAGATGGATAGATCATGTGAATGAGCCACATTGGATAGGGAACTGAACAGAGCATCCATTATGAGGGTGGGAAGTCAATGAAACCACTTCTTCAGCTGCCGGCATAACAGGTTTAGAGTGTTACTTTAAAAACGTCTGGTTCAATGACTAGAAAAATGTTACCATAATCTGAGTATCAACATGTCAAAGTAAGGTATCCTGATTACTTTCCTTTACTTTTTGATTACCTCAGTATCAAATGCAATGCAAAGAAATACTAAGAGAATGTAGAAATATCAATAAGATGTCAAAAAGAACAGACAACAGAACAATGTGAGCTAAGAAAGAGCAAACCGAGATATTTACCATCAAAAAATGTCATAAAGCATATTCAAGCAGAAGCCTATACACCAACAATGAAACACAGGAGCACATACTTCAGTGTACAAAAGCAGAAATAAGATCTGAGCTGACAGAACATGTTCCGTTTTATTTGAATACACACAGTTAAGCTCACACACACTACTTTATGAACATATAGGTTCACTGAATTAACACATAAATGAAAGAAAGTGAAAACCATAAGGCAGATTCAGGCAGTAGGCGTTTAGATACACAGATCCTACAGAACAGTATACAGCTTACAGAGAAGAGATAACATCTGATCCTTTTACAACAAACACTATATACTCTATTTAGTTGTTGACATTTTAATCCTGCTAGTGATGCCCCATTTTTTGAAGTGACATCTGATTGTGTCTTTTTCTTTCACTTTGAATATGTTTAAATGTGATACGTTACTCCCCGAGCCTGGGTATACAAAATGACACATGGTTCAAGTGGAAAGACAAACTGACTAGCAACAAGACGGATATATTCTCAGACAGATGCAACGATCTGAAAGCAGACAACAAACCAGGCAGAACGGCAGGGAGAGAACCATCATAGAGACGGAGCGAGCCGGACAAGCAGAGTGCATCATGGGCAGTAAAACAGCGTCTGTTGTCATGTCCATAACTCAGATTCCCCCTGAGTTTTTACTCTGAAATGAAAATCGGACGCTGTAGTTCCTCCGCTGGGGTGTCAGAGGAGGGAAGAAATCCATCCTTTCACACGCCTCTCCTCAGATTCCTCCCTAAATCTCGTCTGGTTTCATCGTAAAAAACGACAGGCTGTCTTGGTAGAGCGTGGGGCTTTTATCACCATGAGTTCTGGATGAGCTAAAGACAAAGGAAGGAGCGCTCCAACTTTCTGGCCTTTTGTTACTGCAGTGAACATAAATCCCCTTACTAAGTCAAAAACTGAAGGAAACTGGGGTTTGATTTGAATAATTAGACTGTGAGGAGGACTGTAGCACATATTATATTTGCATAAATGTGCATATCGTACTCACACTAACTCAATACATTACAAGTTTGATTTGAAAAGTAGGTAGTAGAAGGTCTATTAAAGAGTATTGTAACTTATGTATGTGTATGTTATACTGGGTATTCTTTAGATAATCTATAGATATATGGATATCTATATTTTGTCTCATTACAGATACGTTTGTTGTTGTATTGATGTAACAGAAAGAAACACATTATTTACTGAAACCCAGTCTCACGGCATTTCGTGTAATATTCACAAAATTAATTTAATCTATTGATTCGTGTTCACCAACACGATTTTCAAATTTTTTTCGTGTCACACAACGATTTTAAAAGCAATGTATTTCTATTGGTAGTATGTTTCGTGCCTGCACCACGTCTTTTTGACGGTCGGGTCTTGGAATACCAGAAGCTGTGTGGTTCATAAAAACATTTTCTTACTCAATATCTTACACTAACCCTTTTATTTTAAATAATATAATATCAGAGTTTTTTTGCCGTCCGCGAGGAAAATAAATGGCTCAGAGCCTCAGAATACTGACATCTGTATTTTTTCAAATCTTTTTTTCCTTCTAATTTGTTATTATTTGGTGCAGGCACGAAACATACTACTAATATAAATACATTGCTTCTAAAATCGTTCTGTGTCAGAATACTGAAATCTGTATTTTGTTGTACTGTATCTGTTTTTCCTTCTAATTGTTATATTTACATTGCTTTTAAAATCGTTCTGTGTGACATGAAAAAAAAGGGGAAAGTGTGTTGGTGAACACGAATCAATAGATTAATGTTGTGACTATAACACCAAATGCCGTGAGACTGTGTTTAAGCTTTGAAAGAAACTGAGAATGATCTTTAGAGGCACGTGTAGTGTAAATCAAACAGTGTGGGGTTTGTGTATCTGAAACATAAATGGTCAGAGTATCCATATTGCACATATGGCTCTTTGTAACATACTGCAGTTGTTTATTTAATGTAATTGTGTGGGCGTCACATTCAAACTGGATCATTTTTGATAGATTTTAAAATATTATTATTGGTGTTCTCAAGCACTTGATGTTTTGATTTTTGGTTTGTGAAGAACTTTGCGTTACATTTTGTGTATAAAAACTGCTAAATAACATTTGATCCACCTGTAACATCATCCTCAGTTTATGACGTATGTATGTTTGTCCTTGCCTATGCTTTCGTAGCAGCTATGGAAGACCTTGAGCATCCATTATCTCCATGGCTCAGTTTATAGTTGGAGACTGCTTGACGTTACTGTATGTAGGTCAAAGTGAGGAATGGGCTCCTTGATGGAGTGGGTGTAGTCCCGCAGTGTGAGCATGGTGATAGTGATCAGTGTCCTGCCTATAGTGGGACGGCTACATCGGAGTGGGCGGTGATTTGTCTGCTTCTGGTTTATTAATGGACACCTTACACTGACATGGTGTTTCACATGGACAATTGAATCTGTCACTTACTTGGGAGAAATGTGAGGGCATTTTTCACCAAACCACCCACATAGTTAACAAGCCATGGAGTTTATTGTTGCCATGGTGCTGACAGATTAGCCATTTAACTGCCATTTAAGGTTGGTCCAGTATCAAACTGCAATAAAAGTGCGACAAGGGAAGGTTGGTTTTATTAAAAGTATCACCTTCTCATATATGACTGTACTTCGCTATAATGGGTTTAAATGTACTCTGTCATTTGTGTGTGTTTTTAAAAAAATTAGATTTACTTTAATAATCCAAATTTGGGATTATTTGTTGTCAAAACAGTATGTAAATAAGGCTTTGCACATGAATTAAAAGTGGAATAAAATAGAAAGGATAAAGATAAACAAACAAAACATATAAATAGAAGAAAATAAAGAAAACAGTAAAATATACATATTGACAGTGAAAGATATCCAAAAAGTGTCTAAATATTCACAATTGAAGTCAGTGAACACTATAACGGCCCGTCTACACAGCAGCGCTAAAAAAATCTTCCAACGCTTCCAACGCTTCTCTGCCCATTGACTTTGAATGGGGTGACGTCACTTTGCTACGCTTTTCGCCGAACTGCATTGTGGGGAAGCGAAGCGAAGATTTCCAGGATTTCCAGGATTTTCAGGATTCAAAAGTTGAGCAATGTTCAACTTTTGAAGCTGAGCTGGAAGCGTCAGCCAATCAAATCCCATTTATGCAAATCTGACAGTACAAGCGCTAGCCAATCAAACCGCGTGCAAGCGGGAGAGCCAGACCGCCGTTCATTTTCTATATTCCTGAAAATGGAGGAGAAATTAGTTATTGTGGTAGCAAATCACCCGGTTCTTTATGACCAGTCCCTAATAACTTACCGGGATACAAACCGGAGGAACCAGGCATGGAGGGAGGTGGCTGGTAGGTTTTCGCCTGTTTGGGGATTTTATATCCAGTTTACTTCGTTTTAACATTGCTATTGCTTTGTATGTCGGGGNCTCAGGTAAACATCAGTGGGTATAACTTATGATTTAGCATCAGTATCCTGACACAGGGTACGTTATGAGTGTATTATGTTTGGATCCTAAAGGTTCTCGGGGGCGGCCACTATTCCATTCATTCAAGGGAAAGTTTCCACTTTAAGAAAGTTGTTTTTTTAGGGGGGAGATATAATATATTTTTTTAATATTGTTTCCATCTGAATTACTCTGACCAGCAACATCGTATATTGATTCTGTACACTCTACTTGCCAACTCACAGTGTATCATTGCTTTGATAACAAGATTATTGATATACATTACATTTCTGGGCATCTCATTTTCGAGCCTGAGGCCTGAAAAATAGGCCCTGTGCTCAAGAGGTTAAGGCTATTTTTTTCTCCTTTCTTTGCTCCTTTCTTACGGTGCAGGATGGAGTCATTTTTTCAAGTTATTTTTTTTAATGTACCTGCTTTTAATGTCTGTTGTCATGTCTGCAGACTCAGCTGGTGTTCCTCTCAGGGAAGACGGGAGAACAGGTTGGTTCCTCTGTGGTTCTTGACTCCACAAAGACAGCCAATCATCTGCTCCACCGCACGGCAGCAGGGTCTTACTATGTACTACTACAAAAAGGTTTGTATCTCAAATCAGGTATAACATGTCAAACATGAAGTAGTGTCCATCTGCGGTTAGACCAGCTGATTTTTAATAAGATAAGATAAGATGTACTTTATTAATCCCAATTTGGGAACATTTTTTGTTGCAGCAGCATTAAAACAAAACAAGGTATTGCACATACAAATAAAATAGAAACATCTGAAAATAGAAATAGAAATAAACCAGCATTAGAGTAAGACAAATATACAGATGACTGGGAAGATAGCAAATCCAGTGTTTCCCATACATTGATGTATTGTGGCGTTTATTTGTTATCTCATACAAAAATATATATATATTATTTTCTTTTATTAATTTTTTTTGGTGGTCTAATGGATAGTGAGGTGGGCTGATGATCGGAAGGTTGCGAGTTCAAATCCTGCCTGGAACACCACTACTAGTGTGCCCTTGAGCAAGGCACTTAGCCCTCGGTTACTCCAGGGAGAATGTCCCTGTAATCGGTCATTGTAAGTCGCTTTGGCATAAGGCGTCTGCTAAATGCCTGAATTGTAAATTATATTTTTGGGAGAATAAACCCCACAGATCCTCAACTCCGGTGTGTTTCACTCATTAACAACGAAACACAGAGCAACAAGAACGTTGGGGGGGGGTTGCGGTGCGGTGTGGTGCGGTGCCCCCACAAATAGAATCAAATTCTGTGGGAAACACTGAAATCTATACACTGTCTGACAAAGAAAACACTATTGAAGGGCCAATCTTCTGTTAACACAATATAAGTAGGATAACAATAATACAAATTACGTTTCCTACAAGAAAAAAGCAAACTTACCTCCATTGAAACAGTTAGATGTATACTCTTAGATGTATTACACAGTAGTGAGTAATCCTGAGCTCATTCACAGACACTGGCTTGTATGGCCTGGCCCTGTGGAGGATTGCAGCTAAAGCTAAAGCGGGGATGGAGCAGGGCCTCAAGAAGGACAAAGACTGGGAGAAGGCTGCCAACGCAACGTCTGGCCTCGTGCCCATGTTTCAGTAAGAATCTGAATATACTCACTTTTTAATTAAAATCTTGCATTGTTGTGGCTTTAGCTGATGTTTATCTCTCCTCCGTAGATCTGATTCACTGCGACATGTGCTGAGAACGGGAGAGACAGGAGACCCACCCAACCTGCTGCTGGTGACTGGGAACGAGGTGGCTCTAGTGGACGGAAAACATCCAAAGACACTGTGGAGATTCAACACCAGCTCAGTCCTCGGGTAACACGTGTTTGATTTTTGACGCACATACGGATTAATTAGAGCTGAAATGAATCGTTTTACCAAAGTGAAAAGTGATGTTTTTATCTTGGAATCAAAGTAGTAATGTCTTCATAACATTACAATTTATTAAAACGTGATTTGTCGGCCACATCAAGGTTCAAGGCTTTCATTGTCCTTTGTACATAGCTACAGTGTAGTTATGACAATGGGTAAATACAATCAAATAGAATATAATAGAAATAGTGCAAGAATAGTCTATATACAAGTAATTGTAATATGATACATTTTTTTAAATTCTATAGTAGAACTGCATGTTTTCTACCCTCTCCTTTAATTATTATTATTTTTTTCTCCTCTCAAAAATTCCTCACAAGGACCCGATATAATTAAAAGTAAATGTCTGTGTTCACTTCCTTTCAGCGAGCCCTCCTTCGGGCACTTTAACAAAGACGAGGTCCTGGATGTTGTGGTCGAGGACGACATTGGAAACTACACAAAGAGGGTAAGCCGATGTAACACCCAAAATGAACTTCCTGTGTGCCGCTTCTCTCGTATCGTGATGGATTTGAGTCACACTGTCTGTCTGGTCTGCAGGTGGTGATTCTGGATGGGAAGTCGGGCGGTGTGCTGTGGGAGGTCGAACTGCTAGCCAGTCCCAACTCACCGAGGCCCAGCGCTATACACACATCCAACTCCTTCTCCATCTTTGTGTTTTGGGGCATGATGCGCTCAGAGGTCAACTCATCTGTAAGTTCACTGTCTTTATTAAAACATGCATGTCGAAGGATTTCTCACAAGATACTAATCGGACTGAAATGTTTCATTCCAGGAACCGTTAGAAAGTGACCGACGATCTTACCTGCTCCACCCGCTCTACTCCAAAGTCCTCCTGCAGTCCACCAGCTTCCTGGAGCACATCATAACGTTTAAAGGTGATTGTTTCACTTAGATTTTGAGGGAGACAGTGAAGTCTGCATGTCATTGGTATCAGCAGATAAAGGCTTTCAAATAAATTGACTAGATATGAACATTTCTTCCGATTTATAGAAGGGCGATTCGATGATGCCTATGTGACACGACCATTGAATAAGGCAATAAGCGATTGCAAAAAAAATTATATATATTTTGATAAATATTTGCTTCAACACCACATATTTAATTACCTTACATTTTTTTGCAACTTGTGAAGTAGGTCGAATGTTCCTGGTTTTGCATTTTTTAGGATTTTCTTAGGGACAGCATCATACGAGCCTGATAAAGTAGGAGGAGTTTTGTCTGAGTATTTTACATAAAAATAATTATCGGCATTCGGATAAAAACGATTAAGGCATAAGTAATATCAACAAAAATCTAATATCCTTCATCCTCCTTGATTGTCATATCAGTAGTATTACCTTTTGAACTACATGTCAGAAATCAGTTATTCGTCTCAGCAGGGAAAATTACAGAGTTACATGAAAAGGGGACAGTGCAGACAAAAGGCAAAAAGAAAACGAGTAGACTTACATGTTAAATAAAGAGGCAAGCACAAGATAATGAAACGAATCACTGTGAATCTGTCGTTAGAGGGATAGGGACAAACCTTCTCTGTATGACTATTTGTTATTTTCTTCTTAGCCACTCTGTTGGAGGGTGGACGCCACGCCGCCTTCATCCTGCTGACGGGCCCCGAGGAGTCCGAAGGCACCGTGGTCCTCAGAAAGCGGAAGCTGAAAAACGACGTCCCCGACAGCAAAGTCCTCCGCATCGCCACCGGAGGAAGCTCCGAGAGCAACGAGGACATCAAAGAGGCCTTCAATCGTCTCCGCTTCAGCGATTGGTGAAAGGACCAACTATAAAATGTCTCGTTTTTCCTCAGTGTTAAAAATAGTTTTGGCACAGCTGACTTTATTGTGGCTTAAAAAACCAAAGTGTGAACACTAGCTTTGACTTTCCAACTGCTGACAACCAAACAAGTCCTTTGTGTTCAGAGGCTTTATCTGCGAGGGCTCTTCCATTCATTTGGGCATTATCTTTTAAGAATTGACCGCATATCATAAGTTTGATTTTAGATAAATAGCTGCTGACCTTTGACAATCACTACTCTTTTCCTGCTGAGAAATCAATCAGGCGGTACTCTCTTTAGCACTTTCATGCATCGATGCAGATCTCTTTCTAAATTGCAGAGGCTGGATTCGTATTTTTTAATCTATGCAACCATGCATATCATCATGGGCTTTATAAGTAAAGCAAATACAGGTGGTTGTTTCTGAGTATTTCAAAATAATAGTTTGCTTTTCTTTTAGTGCCTTAGAAACTTGAAATATGACAGAAACCTTAAGTGATTCACTATTGGACTGTTTGGTAGTCACTGTTGTCCATAAACAAGATTTGTGGACATTTCCTACTCAATCCAAGATGCTGTAACAGATCATGCTCTTTAACGCACATGCACTAAACCTGTGATACACTCAAGCATGAGGCTCAGATGTTCTCTGAAATAATGAGTTACTGCTGTGGGTTTTTTGTTTCTTTTATGCTGTTTAAGTGTGCCTCTCTCAAAGATTTATATTAGTACAAATATTTGTTTGCTGTACAAAGATATGTTGATACTTTGGGCCTTTTTCGGCTTTTCTTTCTGTCTTGAGCAGTAATATTAAACACTCTTAAATGAATTGCTTTTGTTCATCTGAAATATGTCTTATTATAGGAGGGTATGGTAAATCCAAATAGTGGATTTTAATAAAGGACAAATTATTTATTTGACCTGTATTCAATATAGGAAAATAGTATGTATTGTGTTGTAATCTCTTTGAGTGCTGCTGGATATATTAACCTATGATAATATATTAGTTTATTTACTAGTAGATTTATAGTTTGTATTAGCTAATAACCTGAATATACAGTAAATAATAGATGTCAGATAAATGTAGTGCACTTAAAAGTACAATATCAGCATCCTTAATATAGTCGACTACAAATATAACCTCAAATGTGTACTTAAGTACAGTTCTTGAGTAAATGTAATTTATTTATTTCAGATACTGGAAACCATAAAGTGATTCCCTGAGTGACCGCATACATTTAAAAAATAAAAAATGTCCCAAGGTCCGAATAAATGATATAAAAGCAGAGCGTTGCTGCCCTCTAGTGTCTATAAATGAATTGAGTAGAACAGCATCGCAATAGCACGCGGGCAGAGGCGCGTCTGTTCACAGTCCATGACTGCTCAAGTCAGTCACGTGTCACAGGCTCGTTCAGTGCTGTTACCCTAAATAAAATCAGCGCGTGGCTTATTCAGAATGACGCACGGTGCTTATGCCTTCGTGCAATAATGTGGGGAATGTCGCTGCTTGTTTTATAGTAACCAGATCTGAGACTTACAAACAGACAGACTAGTGACTTTAGGGATGAAAAAGACGCACGGCACAAGAGCAAGCAACATGAGGATAAACGCTTTTTAATGATTGTTTAATTGTGTGTAAATGTACTTTTGTGTCTGTCTTAATGCTCAGTTTAAAGCACTTTGAATGGCCTTGTTGTTCTAACAAGTTGTATAAATGAACTATAACACTCACTCCTCCTGAAGTTAGATAAGACAGTGCGTTTAAACACACACACTTCATAACCGACCAGCCTGAGTAATAAGGTATTCATAATGAATATCCCCATGGTAATACATATGATATATGACTCATAAACAGTATCACTGCTGCCCCCACTTGACCTGACAGTAGTAATTCCTAAATTCCTAGACAGAGATCACAAACTGAGCATTTGCCAGCCACGTTATGATGAATAAGTACATGTAAAAAGCAGAAACACAACCCAAAGCAGCCTTTCCCTACTAAAACTCCAATCCTATCCGATTTAAACTCCCTAAATTACTTTTTATTTCTTAGATAAATATCTATTAATGATTAACACACATTTGTAAACAAAGTACTTCCGCAATGCGGAATCCGCATTGAGAAAAAGTCCTCAGATTGGTGATAAATAAATCTAAAATAAAACACTATGAAATAACTCTGCTTCTGTGGGGTCTTAGCTTTTTCCTGGTCTCCTGTCAGTACCCTCTCAGAACTAACAGAGTCAGAGTTATGTCTATCTGTGTTTTATGTGACCTGTGGCCGCCATACTGGCCGCGGAGGAATGCACGGCTGCATCCTCACCGCTTATCACAGAGCACGTACACAGCCGGTATAAAAGTCACTTTGAGCTCGAGCCTGCAACTGCTCCAAGGTAATGTCTACCGGCATGAATTTTCTTAATATATATAATAAAATATATATATTTTTAATCTATTGAGACGCATGCCACTTGTAACCTATTTGAATTGCCTGTGCTTTTATTGAGGGAGAATGTTTATGTCAAGAAAGTTCAGGAAATTCGGTCTCGTCTGGAAATGATCGATAAGAGTTTTGGATTTAATCCAATATCTAAAATGTGCTGTTTTTTTCATTGTAATAGCATGTTTAAGTATTTTAAATCATACCTTGGTTCATCAAAAAGAAACAGAAACTAGATCGTCTAAGGAGGAAATGCTGTTAATGGCAGGTTATTGATAAAATGTCCGCCAACAACGTTTTAATACTATCTTTATTAGACGCATGTTCGACCGCATATATTCATTTTTTTTATGCTGTATGTACTCTGAGAAAGGTGTATTAGATGAAAACTCACGTACCCTAAACCCTCCCAAAAATAACCCTCCTTCAGCCTGCAGTCAGCTGCAGAGAATTGATAAGCCAGCAGTGTTCAGTTGGTCTGCCGCCATAGATGCATTAATGTCGGTCTGTTTAATTTACTTAATTGGTGCAATTGGTGGAAAGGAGCTTTTTTGCTTAGAGACAGAAAAATAAGCATTTTTTGTTCTTGCCTCTTACAGTATCCATTGATGATATATTCTTAACAGAGGTGAAAATGGCTGAGGAGGACATTCAAGCAAAACTTCAGAATTACCGCACGGCTCCATTTGATGCCCGGTTCCCCAACTCGAACCAGACCAGGAACTGCTGGTCCAACTACCTGGGTGAGAGTCAGAGTCAAGGTCATATCATCCAATGTGAAACCATGAGGGCATTCTGAGTCAGATATTAAAATATGTATATTATTGTTGCTTTGATTAATGATGTATATTTGAAGTCAGGTTAATAAATGGCCTCTGACCTCTCTTGAAGTAACCCAGTTTTTTTGGGGAACTGACATGACCCTTTGTTTTGTGACTTGGATTGAGGCCATGTTGCTGTTTTTGAATTTCATTGTTGTCGTTTCTCTATTAATAGACTTCTACCGCTGCCAGAAAGCTCTAGACGCTAAAGGAGTGGACACCGGGCCCTGTGACTGGTACAAGAGGGTCTTCACATCAATCTGCCCCATATCCTGGGTAAAACTTTGATTTTTTTGCATTCACTTTTTGTCTTATGTGGAAACCGCTCACCCAAAAGGTCACAGGCAAGTTAAAAAGTGATGGCAGAATATACTTTCCCTTGTGTGGGCCGAGTTTTTTTTAGCAGAGGTCAAACAACGTTATCGTTGCTCACATTCCTGTTAGTCTGCTCGGCCCTGTGAATCAAAACAAAGTTTCAGTCCAAAAATGGAAATGCCCCTTTATAATGAACTCTCAGCTCCATAAAACTTATTTATATCCCATTCCCAAAAATAACGTCTTCCTTTTTCTTTTAAAAAAAATAATATATATATACATTGAACGAGTGTTAACATCACATATTCAAATCACAAAATCAATATTAAATCAATATTAAATGTAAATTATTTACAAAACATAGGACATTTCTTGTAGTTTAATGTCCTCTCGGGTGGGTGGGGGCTATGGGGACCTTCCATTTAAAGTGATGTTTAAAACTCAGTTAATGGGGCTCATTTTTATATTGCTTCAGTTTATAATCGTAACGGATCGAAAAGTTCAGATTCATTTTTCAATACATGATGCGCTTCCACAAACAACAACCAACATAATTATTACATTCAAATGAAGTACATTATTCAAGTTTACATTAACTTTGGATAATAACACGGGAGAAATAATGGGAGCCTCTCTCTTTTCCTCTCTCCCCCTCTCCCCTCTCTCTCCTGACAGCCCGTCAGTATCGTCTCATGCAGCTCACTTATCCAGTAATGAGTGACCCGACAGTGAAGAATAAATATGTATAACTAGTTTAGCTTGTTCCAGAGGTAGATCAAATAAATAGCTAAGTGTGTTGGGTCTAACTCTTAGTGTGTGTTTCGCTCTGCTCACCGGTCCGTCACAGCGGGCGGAGCTGCAGGATTTCTGCTTCACACACGTTGCATACCGCTATTTTATTGTCTTTTTCGGACACCTTAAAATATTGCTAGACTGGTGAAGCCATTTTGGTGAGCTTGTTTTGCCGCGCACAGAGAAAAGTGTCATGTACTTTACGTCATGTTATCGACTCTGCTGATCGGCCTTTATAGAGAGCACAGATCGATCGGCCGAGTGAATATCGGCCGATAATCGGCGGCCGATCGATCAGAGCATCCCTAGTTGTTATAACTTTTTGTCCAGTAGCCTACCACGGAAGTTGCTTTAGTAAGTCAACTTTACTTACCTACACTCGATCAGTGATGTAACAGCAAGTGTTTTGCTTTTTATTTCACTGATATTGAAAAAGGTGGTTAAATATTAACTAATTTTCTGAACATTTGTAATTCTAAAAGTTAACATTTATATCTCAATCTTTCTGAAATGTTTCCCCTTTAGGTCCAGAAATGGAACGACCAGAGAGAGGAAGGGAACTTTCCAGGAAAAATCTAAACCTGCCATTTCCAAAGCTGTCTAGTCTGCTGAGATGTAAACTATTCAGCTAAATGTTTGTATCAGTGGTGCGACGCCATGTGGCTCCATCACCACCTTTCCAATACTGATGTTCTGTCCTGTAACTGAATGGTCATTCCTGACAAATACCATGAAACTTACAGCCGATTCTGCATTAAAATATCTCAGGACATATTTATGAAACTCCGTTGTCCTCTGTGTTTTTAATAAATCATTCAGAACAGTGTGGGATGAAGTCAGGACGAGGTCTTTTCCAGATATTTGTTTACATTTTTATTCATTTCAAATAAACCTACATCAAATATACATATTTAATCAATATTAGAAAAATAATTAAATATTTCAAAACACTAAATGCCACACATACAATAACAGCCACCGCCCTATAGAGCAGACACAGAGTGGTGACCATTGTTGCTGTAGGACACGGGGAAATTAAATACATAAAACTGCATTTCATATACAATTACTCCCATCATGAGTGAGGAGTATAAAATAGTTGATATATATTGGGGCTCAATGAAGCAGTAGAAACTCCTCCAAACACAAGTGTCTAACATTTTAAGATGATAACAACGGCTAATGCTGAAGAGACTCTCCCATGCAACAAGTTAGAACAGTAAATATTGAATAATGAATGTACAACACCAACTATTAAGTATTATAGTCAAGGTAGAATCAGATGAATCCCTTTTTGAACATTAACCTTCTCAATTTGAGGTAAGTTTATAGTATTTGCATATTAGAAGTTGCCTGTTTCTGACTCTACTTGAAATCTAAAATGGCAAATGTAGATTTTTTTCGAACTAAATGACTTTTACTGGTTCATGAAATGTTTGCCTCCATAACATCTACCTTATAGAGCAACTTGGATAAAGGTCACTTGGATTGCAAACAAGTTTTTCTACCTGACGCAAAGCAGAAAATATAGACTGACCCTAATTTTGTAAAGCCAAATATATATCGAAGATTCAAGTGTGGACAGCTTCAAGTTGAACTGTACAAAAATCGGACCACTGCACTGATTTCAAGGAAACACTTCAGCCTTCGATATAAATCTTTTTAGAAAGGTGAAAAGCTCAGTCGAAGCACTTTCCCAAGTATTACTGTCAGGCTTTGAAATATAGTAGCCGACAGATATAAACTGTTAATAGATATAAATTAGCGTCTGCATAGCATTGGTTTGTGAACTGCGGGGAGTGTTAGCTAGTTTTTAAAGCTCATCACCCGTGAACACAATAGAGCGGTGCAGTGATGACGTGTTTTTGTGGGCCGACAAGAAAGTTAGCATCGCATATCGTAAGGTTTCCATTGAGAAATATCAATTTTCTGATTATTGTAGTAAATAAGCTCTGTGGCAAACACACTTAATTTTTGAAGCAAAATGACTAGTCTCGTGTTCGACGTGACGTATACTAATCTCATTTATTCACATACTAGTATGACAATTCACAAGTGGTGCGTTTACTGATGTATATTAGGTTTAAGAACATATTAAAAAAACTTAAATGGGTGTTACCACAGAACTTATTTCAGGCATCTAACCAAAACCATTGAGTTTAACACAAGGGAACCGGAAGTGTTAAAATGCTAACTTATTTCCAGACTCATTCCTGCACCACTCACACTTAAAACCGTAGCATTGGCCATATCCTGATAGTGTTTTCACGTGGCCTTGGAGCTATTTCTTTTTTAATAAGGTATTTTCACGCCACGAGCAGCATTTAAATATGCAGCACAACAGTCACAAGTAGCAGCCACAGATATAGTGTTTAGTACGAGGCACAATAATAGGGCTAATATAAAAAATAGCCTTATAGGTTCATCCTGGCACTGTGGGGGGGGGGGGGGGGCAACAATACAGTACGTGTTCAGAATAACGAGTGTAGGGGGAGAGGAGAGCGATCCAACCATAAAGTGGAATCTAGTGTGTGTGTGCATGTGTGTGTGTGTATGTATGTGTGTGCATGTGTGTGTATGTATGTGTGTGTATGTGTGTGTGTGCGTGCGTGCGTGAGCAAACCCATTGGTATCTCTTCAGTGAGGACTACGTGAGACACTTTGAAGTCGCCATACAAACCGTGGCTGCTTTCGGTGTTAAAGTTAAGAAAGTTTTCAAGTGACCCACCAAAAAGTGAGCTTAAAAGTCAGCCATAGTTCCTCCTGTTTAATTCAGTTGTCTTTGTTTGAGCAGTGAATCCACATCAGTCTGTCAGTACCTCCTCTTTCCGTGTTTCCCACCGTCAGTCATGCAGGTTTTAGGCCGTAGAGCTGCATAGTGGTAGAACAAATATATTTGATTTAATAATTATTGCATTAAAATTTGACTTATTTGATTTACTGGCATTTTTTAAACTGGTGAGGGACAAAACAGACTATTTAAGTAGTTTCCCTGACCCACCTGGATCTGCTGTCTGCTTCTTCTTGTTGTGATGGACTATCTGATTCTCATTGGTCATCTTCACATCCTGGTCCTCCACGTAATTACTGCAACACAGAGAGAAAAAGAAGACACAGGTTAGCTACTTTGCTGTGCTAGTGGAAAAACAGGAATTACACAACATGGAGATCTGACTGATAACAAAGCTTGAAGCCAGCAGGTCCAGACTTTGAGACCAAGGATACGTAATAGAGAAGGGGGGGGAGAAGAGGGGGCAGAGGCATCACAACTTGGGTGTGTGTGGTAAGGAGGGTGTGGCATGACTGGGGGACGTTTGAGGGAACTGGGGCATTCTTCAATACAGGGGTTGACCACAGGGAGGCGCTGACACGGGGCGTTCACAGACTCTGTTACTCACTGTTGGAGGCGTCTGCCGCTGCGGGGGCTGGAGTGGAGAAGAGCACATCTGTGTTCAAAACAACTCACCGCTCAGGAGAACGGGGTTTGATCTAACCTTCTTTCTCAACTTAGTATATTTCTACACATAGTGTGTATCGAATATGTTAAACCTTTGGTCAGAGGACGAGACAGAAAACAGAAAAACTCAACCCAAAGGAACGTTTTCTTTGTCTATCAAAAAGATACATTCAAGTAACCTTGTCTTTCTGTAAAGATAGGTTGTTTGTTTCTGTATAGGCTAGCCTGTGGTGGATGAAAATAAATGAATTGTAAAAGTAATTTCTCATGCAAAAAAAGACAGGAAATGCTTTGTTCAGCCTCTCAAAATTGTTAGCCAGAATAAAGATTCGGTATGTTTTTGTAAAAGGAAATTGTACGACCGATATTCAATAATATATCTACATCCTAAATATCCAGGGTACCTGATGACAGTGTTCCTCTCGCGGTGTGCGATGTAGGCGTTGTCGGTGAAGAGGATGGTGTGGTACGGCACCACGGGGTCACAGGTGGGCAGAATGCCTCGAGCCACGTGGCTAACACAGTCCAAGATGCCGTTATACACCAGGAGGTCGTCCACCAGCAGCTGTACACATAGACAGATTGTTGATTGAAATTTGAATGTAAATGTTTGTCTAGGTCAAAGCAGAAAAAAAGAGGCTTACCCCAAACTCCTTCACTCCCCTTTGTGGCGTCTTTGAGTAGTTCCACAGTTTGATCATGGACACCGTCACCGGCTGATCGAAGATGACGTACACGCGGTTCACCTACGAGGAAACAATCGATACACTTACGAATGTACTCTGCTCTGAGTGTGTGAAGTGAAGGCACTCTGTCTGAAATGCTCACCAGTCCAGGCAGCACCGGGGCTAACCACATGTATCTTCCATCGTGGGTACTGTTGACTCCGTCTATTAATCTATCTGGAGTCCTCACATCACCGCTCACATTGTCCAGCACATTCACACTGTCTGGAAAAGCAGCGATGTCTGGGAGGGATAATGTTGAGGAGCAGACACATTAATACTCCTGCAGAAACTATTAATTATTTACCAACTACGTGTATGCGTCCATCTAATACAATTGGTTGATAGTGTAGCAGTTATTACATGTATGGTATCAGGTTAGGTTTTATTATTAAACGTCGAACGTATGAGAAAGGATACTGTTGTCACTGAGACGGATCTTCTCGTGGTTCTGGTCATAAAATTCGAGGCCGTTGAGGCCGATGTAGTACGGGTCTCCCCAGGTGGTCAGCAGCTGCAGCTGAAAGATGACTGACGGGTGAAGGTCAAGGAATAAACAACATGAAACCCCATGTACAGAACTCATCCTGAGCTGCGACCAAAATCTACATTATATTTACCCTGCAATATTTGATCTGAGGGTTTGAAAATATCAACCCCATTAACACTAATACACCAATACGTCTCAGAAATCCCAATGTACTGCTCACTAAGTAGTAAACTAATGAGTGTATTTTTGTTTAAGTCCTTTGACAGTCGTCATCTGTAAAGAACATCAGAACTGATCCTTTGACGTTAATCAGACTGACAGTCCAAATCCAACTGGCAAAGTAAAAAAAGGGTAATCTTAAAGTACATATTTCTGACATTTTATAAATCCAATTAATCAATCAATTTAAAACATCAATCTACAGCTTGTAGATCAAATGCGTTGCAGCTCTAATCAAGTTTGATTAATATGGCGTGGCCTAACAAATCAAATGTTTTAATTTGCAAACAAAAAAACGGTATAAATCCAAATATTTGACTGACAATGCACACAGCAGGAAATCATGTTAGGATACATCCACAAGGCATGATGGGAGCTTCATAGTCCATGCTGGCCAGTTCCTGTTTCTTAGAGCTTCCTCTGAATTAGAGACAACAACATTGTAAATTAGGAAATGCAGCTTTCAAGCTTCGTCAATAAATGCAAACTAAATGAATGTCTCGTACCTGTGGTAGTCCTCTGCACTCTTGTTGTCGGTGGGCGTCTGGAGGAAATCTACGAAGAGCAGCTCCTGGGCGAAGTCAAAGTGACAGTTTCCAGGACCTTTCCTGATCAGGAAGCCCTCCGATGGAGAGATGGCAACTTCATCCATAAACACATGGATCATCTTCAACTGAACCAAAGACAGGGACATTTTGATGTGTTGTGCGTTCCTTGAAATCTCTTGAATATAAAATGTCTACTAATACAACTATAATTAATACATCGCTCCGTAAAAAAAAGATCTCTGGCTCCACCTGAAGGACTGTAATCAACCATATAGATTAGTTGCTTCAGTTTATTGTGTGCAGTATTATATTGTTATATATTTACAGTTCACTCTCATTATTTAAAGAGAAATTGCATTTTTGGTATATAATATAATATATATAATAGCAAACAGTGTGAGTGTCTCACCCCTCTGTAGGAGTCCTCAGGGGACTTGTTGTAGTTCCAGATTCGGAGTCCAGCGATGGTCTGGGTCTTGTTGAACGTTATGTTCAGGGTGTGCGGCTCTCCATAGGAGAAAGGGATCAGCCACATGTGCTGGTCATCAGTCGTAATGTTGTGGCCATTTATAAGCCTGGGTAACGAAAACAGACACATTTACACACGTGTGCACAGACAGCTTGCAATGTGTAACACCTGCAAGTACAACAAATCAATAATGTTTTGTACAGTATGGTGCCAAGTATAATTAATAGAATGAAATTGAAATCAATAAATCTGACTTTCTACAAAAAACTAGAAGGATAATTCATTAAAAACATCTATTTTACTACAGCTTCTACTGCTGTGTATATGAATAAAGTGTCAAATGTCATTCAACATTCTCTGCGTATCGTGTCGGCCGTACTTATCAAGCGTGCGCAGGTCATTCTCGTAATCCGGCAGGTCGTTGAGGTCCCGGGGTGAGGCGGCCATCATACTGAGGTCTAGAGGTAGACCCTCTCCATCCTGCCCCACCACCTCTAGGCCTGTCAGCCCCATGTAGTGCGAGTCCCCCCAGGTCATCACCAGCTCCAGTCTAAGGCCTGGGGTGGAGGGAGAGAGCTTATATAAGTATCCATACAACAGAGAGCTGATCATGTGATATGCTATTTGTTTTATCATGCAGTGTTGGAGAGCATCATAAGATATGGTATCATGATGGTAAAGTCACAGATCGCTCGCCTGGTACAGACTGCTATGAAAATGATGGTTGTCAAAAAACATCCATCTCTCCAAAACATATATGAGCAGTCCATTATTAGACAGATGTTGTCTGATCCCACCCACATACTCCACCCAGAATTCCAGCTGTGTCCATTAAGCCTCTTAACACTCACATGTAATGTAATATACTTTTAAATGTTGGCCATGAGGCTTGTACAACAGGTCGCAATTGTGCGTCTGTGTATTGTGTTTGTGCAAACGGTGCATGAGTGATGATATGTGTATGTATTTGAATGTTTATTATGTTTGTATACATGTATGCGGAACTAAAGGACGGAGTCCAGAACAAATGTCCTTACGGCATACTTGCCAACCTTGAGACCTCAGAAATCGGGAGCGTTTCAAAACCACCGCGGGACTTTCAGTTGCCCGCGCTACTAAAGAGACGCGTTACTATGGAAACCAAACAATGGTGTAGCTGTATTAAAGTCCGAGTGGAAACAGTCCTGAGTAAATCTGATTTTGTCAGAAATCGGGATTAATGCGGGAGAAATATGACCCCGGGAGGAAACCATCAACTCACACTTTCCCGTGTACATCCCAAAAATATGATCCATGTTCTCCTCAGACTGGCTCACAGTGGGGTTGAGGTGGAGCTTCAACTAAGACAGAGAATAAGATGAGTGGGATGTTTTTGAGTCTTTGATTAGTTATCGCTCTGACATTATAGGGAACCAATAGTTTAACAATAGTCAAGTTAATAGGAAAACACTGTGAGTACTTCTACAAAATCCTGTTCCCTCTGTTGATAAAGCCTGTCTTACTTTGAGGTCTTCCTCTCTGAAGCCGGCCTGTGTGAAGGGTCTTTCCTCTCCCTCTCCGTCAGCGGTGCGGGGTCTCTGCAGCTCCTCCTCAGACACCAGGCTCTCAGGACCCTCGCCCTCACTCAGGAAGGTTTCATCATAACGAGACATCGCCTCCAGGATCTCATCGTCAGTGGTGAAGAGGATGGTGTCACCAAACTGGTCCAACTCTGAGGTGACAGCGGAGTGAGAAAGAAGGAAGAGTTGATCAAACGTTACACCAGAAGCCGGATCAAGTCATTGTTTTCCTCCAGTCCAAAATCCACATTTTGAGTCCTAAACAAGTCCTAATGATCTCTTCCCCAAATCTAATGATGTTTAACACCAGTGTTATAATATATATTATAAAACGGACAAGTCAAATCAAGCAATCTGATTGGTTCTTAGCCGTGATATACTGAGCGTATACCACGGGTAGAATTGTAAGTTACTTTTCACAACAAGTCAGTATCCCTCCGCGTCTGAGAAAAACAGTATACCTTTGGGCTGAAAAGCAAACTGCCTCCGCTTCGCGTCGGGCAGAACCACGCCCCTTAGCTGTGATATAATGAGCATATACCACGGCCTGTCGTGAGCTATTGCTTAAATAATTACTTAAACATTGGATTTATTTATAGAAACACGTGGGGTTGAATTTAATCATAAAAAGTATGCTGACAGTCATTGGATAGAGCGAGATGAACCAGTACCAGAAGTGTGTATGTTTTTCTCCTGTGTATTTTTACTCATTTGATAGGAGACAAACTTTCTTTTTACCGAGACATTTTAAAATGTCAACTCTACATTTCTAATTACCACACAAAGAAAATTACAAAAATGCAAGGCCTTTCTGTTGAGCTACCTCCAGACAGCGTCCCAGAGGCCTTTGCGATCTCTCCCCTGAAGATGCACCTTCCATCCAGCAGCATTTCCACCTCCTTCACCCCTCTGAAGGAGTGAATGCGTGACTTGTTGTAGTTCCACACTCGGATCATGGCCACCTGGTGCGGCGCTCCGAAGTCCAGGATGATGGTGTGGCTTCGACCGGGGGTGAAGGGCGCCAGCCAGAGATGCATGTCATCCTGTGTGCGATTTACTCCGTCGATCAGGTTAGTGACCACGCGTGGGTCTTTGCTGTATGCGGGCAGGATGTTGATGTCTGGGGGGTCAGCGCGGATGTGAGCCGGGCGTAGAGGTTCCCCGCTGGAACTGAACACCTCCAGGCTGTTGAGGCCCACGTAGTGGCGATCCCCCCAGGTGGAGAGGATGTTGATGATCAGCCTGGAGCCCTGTGGCAGCACCGGGATCTCAAACTCCTCCTCCCTCTCCATGTTCAGATCATCATCAGGGCCCTCACACATTGCCCCCTGAAGGGTGAAGGGGGACCGAGGGCTCCTGGGGGCTGGGGAGGGGCTTCCTGGGAGTGTGGGGGGACCGCGTCCCTGGCGCTGGAGGAACTCGTCGAAGATGTCGCCCTCGAAGCCCATGTTGGAGATGCGTCCGCGTTGGCATTGGTTGAACTTGGTGAGAGAGTCCCAGGACTCCCTGAGGGTGTCGTCCTGCTGGCTGTGCAGCGGAGAGGAGCACGGCCTCCTGCGAGAGCTCAATGGCATCGGCTCCTCTGGAGAATACACACAGATCTTTCATTAGTAACAGGCCACAGGGAATTATGACTAATGACTTCACATCATCAAATGTGCCATTACACAAAACATGTCCTCGTTGTTCATTTAATACATTTCAAATAATACTATTTTAATATGTGTTTGAAAGAGAAAGAAATGAAAACATACAAGTACAGGATCCCTGAGAAGTGTGAGTACCTGTGTAAACCTTTCATTGTAATAGTTCATTTAATGTGGTCTTATTTACATTTTCTCGTCCCAGTTTTTTCAACATTTCATAACAAACAACTTGATCATTTAAAGAATAACATAACAAAACGTAAATCTGCAGAAGGGTTAGGCAATCATTACCCGGCACAAGTACCAGTACAAAAAGACCGCTACTCAGTTTGGTGAAGTGTGAGGCCTCTGGCAAACTAATATCACTACAGGCCCTTGTCATTTATCAACCAATCAAATGACAGTCCTCACATGGTGCTACACATGTGCTTCCAGGGACTTCAAATAGTCCCAACATGATATCTGATTTGTCTCTTTTCTGATTCCTTGTTTGCAAATTGTGTTATGATTATGAAGAGAATATTAATTTGCAGAGGTGTGATAGCCTTATTAGTTCAAATGTGTCCCTTTGTGTATCATCATTTGAAAACCTTCCTACCAGTGTTTGACAGTGCTGTAGCTCTGAGCTGCTGCTCCTCCGTCGGCCTGCCAGTGGCTGCAGTGTTTCTGAAAGAGCTCCTGCGTCCGCTGACAGGTTTGTCTGCCGTTTGCTCAGCCAGCTCCTCCAGCAGGTCGCAGCTCAGATCCAAAGCGTCTCCTTTCCACTGAGCCCCGTTCACCGTCCTCTCCGACCCCCTGCACACTCGCCCCGGGTTGCACGGCAGCTCCGGGAGCAGTGAGGAGGACGAGGCTGTCGGAGATTTGGGCTCCACGGAGTTTTGCGGCACCAGCCATCGGGGCCTTTCTCTGCTGGCCTCGCAGCCTTCTGGAGCTCCTCTGTTCAGCGGCTGCAGCCACTGGGGGGCCACCCTGGAGGAGGACGGCTGGGTTGTGACCGTCTGCTCCATGGGTGCAGGCGGCTCCTCTGGGGCAGACAGATCAAAAGAGTTTCTTTGTGTGGAGGAGCGATGAGCGGAGGGTGAAACCCCGACAGGTGGAGCGATGGGGGGCAACAGAGGGTGTGGTTTCTCCTGCATGTCTAACATAGCGTGGATACCTGCGTCTGATGGCTGTGGATTCCAACTGTGGTGGTTTTGGGAGCTGCTGCCATCCCCACCCTTCCTGTCTTCATGGCGCTGGGGGCTAGCACCCCGCAGGTTGTGTCCTGAAGACACAGGGCTGGAGAACACGGAGTCCGAAACCTGGAAGTCCTGGAGGTCAACGGTGGTGCTGTAGTCAAATACCTGGTTAGCGCAGCCCTTCTCCAGCTCTCCTTCAAACACCAACGTGCTGTTGAGGTACAGCTTTATATGGCGGGCACCAATGTCAAGATCCTGCAGAAGAAACAGAACTTCAATTTAACACAACATACAGTCAGGTTCATTCATATTAACTGCAAATGTTTAGCATTAAAATATATAACTAGAAAGATCTCATGTTATATTTTGAGTGCAACAAAAGCTGCAAACCCAAAAGCACAACATCCCAAAAAGTAGAGCTCTTGTGAAATTTCAAACATTCCCTATTTATCAAATTACCGATCGCATGCAGTAAGAACTCTCCAAGCTAGCAGTAATTAGCGCTCTCACAGACACAAGTCATGGCTAAAGCCCAATTAGAATCTTCTTACTCCTACAGATAGTAAACTAGCATAACACAGGTAAACATAGAACCTGTTCCCCACTAGCTGCTCCTTACCTTCCAGGTTCAAGTAACAATATAAAGTTGAAGTAACATAGAGATAAGATGGGGTCTTTGCACCCCTCTATGATCAGCAGTGAGAGGCAGAACGCCCGCGACTCCCCAACACTAATCCTCTGGGGCTAATCTCTCTCTGTTCCACATTTGGACAGTCTGACTGGCAGCTCAGCCGGCCAATCATTACAGAGAAACCCTCCCCATGACGGCACCACGCCAATACAGCCGCCCGTATTATAGTGACAACACACAGGCATGTTGTGTTTATGAGCTTTACTGCTGCAGACAGCAAAGTGAATAATCTCTGAACTCAACGGGGGATAAATCAGAAGCTGTAATGACACAAAAATAAAAAGCACATACATTGAGGCTTTTGTTGTAGTTCCAGATTTTGATGCGAGATATTCCAAAGTCTGTGGAGCGCTCCGTGTTCCTGATGACGAAGTAGAGCTGGATGGGGGGGTGGAACGGACACATCCACATGTGACGCTCTTTGGTGGTCTGTCAAACCAGAGGAAGAGACAAAAATAAGCAAAATGTCTTAACCTGAAACTGGTAAATATAATAAGTATTTTACAAAAAAGGCAGGTGTCAAATGTGGGCTGCATCCCATTTAGCTGTCAAAGTTTCAGAGCCATATCATTGTGCGTGCTTGTTTAGTGAGAAGGCCTACTGATGCTAACTTGAACACAAATAAGGTTGTTGTTATATTTGCTTTAACTACATCCTGGTATCCATGACACAGATAATCTATGACAACATCTGGTTCCTCTGCCACCCCCCACTGCTTTAAAAAGGCATTTGAGAGATTTCACTGTTGCCGAACGGAAACAACCAATCAGAGGCGAGGAGTCTCAGCGTGCTTACTGCTGGTGGATTCAGCTCCAACTGTCCAACTAGGCTGATCAAATATGAATGAAGATTGAGTTTTCTACTTTGTCCATTTTCTGCCTCAAATGTTTTCAGAAATATATATTTTAGGGTACTCTTGAGCCGTTTAAATAATATAGTTTGTGATTGTGTTGAAAACAGTTGAGACAAAACCAAGCTCTGCCAATGGCTGATGCAAACTCTTATATTCTACAGCTAAGAATTACATTAATATATGTTTATGAAATGATTTGAGATGAGAAATAGACACTGAGTTAGAGTCTCTGGAGCTCTGATTGGTTGTTTTGCCTTTTGGGCTGGTTCAAATAAATGAAGAGGCAGATGACCCAGATTTGTTTACAGGGTATCTGTCCCAGGATATAGCAAAGATATATAGTTTGCCGTCAAAATGGTCTCCTGTCTTTTTTTGACGGATAATTAGCATTTGTGATGACGGTGGCAGAAGGAGCACACGCTCACCTTAACCTTTCCGTTAACGAGCGCCCCCAGATTCCCGGGGTGGTCAGCGTTCCTGATGTCGAGGTCGTGAGGAGACACATAGAGCTTCTTGTTTCTGAGGCAGAAGAACTGCAGCTCAGTCAGCCCGACCTGCAGCGCGCTCCCCCAGTTTGACAGGATCTCCATGGTAACATACAATGCAGGGGTGACCTCCGTCGAGGACAGCCTTGTCTGGGATGAAAAGCACAGAACATTCACAAGGACTCCTGTACACTAATGCCTTCCATCACACCCAGCAGTGTTGGGATTATTCACTGCGAGACGATGCGACTGACTCACCAGCTGCTGCCAAGGCACACAGGGGATAGGGGAGGTGGAAAGATGTTTACTTCCGTGGGGTGGTAGAGGGGTCGTGGGTTGGACGTCTCGAAGGCTGGCTACAGTAGAAAAACAAGTCGCCGTTGTTTGTCGTTGACGACTGTTCGGAACCTTTACAGAACTTCGTCCTGGGTCGGATGTTGTAAGNTGTGCGCTAAGTCATTCGTCAGCTGGTGTCCCCGGCCCTGGATGACGAGGAAGCAAAAAGAACACACATAAGCTTTAAGGGCAGAGGTTACATGTCAAATCTGTGACACTATATTCAAATAACATACAACACATGTGCAGTTATTGTTGGAAATTCAAAATAAATATCTGGATTGGTATGAAAACATCTGTTAACTACGGCTGCACGAATAAACAACATTTAATATCAAAATATAGGTAAATATATTTTGTGATGAAGTATTGTGTTGCTGCATTCATGCCCCAGCCTACATCATTAACCAGTTCAAGAGGAAATACAGAGAAATTATGTTCTCGAGATACAGGGATGGGGAAGGTGTTTGACTACAGTATGTGTATGTGTGTGAGTATGTAGGTGTGTATATGTATGTGTGCATATATGTATATCAGTGTATGTATGTGTATGTATATGTGTATATGTATATATGTCAATCAACAGGTAAAGCCGATTA